TATTGTAGGGTTACTGGGGGAGGGCTGGGGGCCAGCACGCTGGTTTGCTTTCCCCACTCTGCCCCTGACCTGCCCCATTCCCCACCCGATCCAGCCTGTGCCAAGACCCCCAGGCCTGGCTGCCTCCGGAGAGGGTTCGGGGCAGGGGCTGACTTGAGCAGATGCTGCTCCAAGCCAATGGCCCTACGTGCCCGGGGGGGAGGATGGAAACACCCTTGTCTCTACGACTGGCAAATCACCTCCGAGCCTGCTTAGGGCAAGCTGCTGATGGCGGGTGTCCCCTCGCGGCCCGCGGGACCCTCGCCAAGCCGGGAGCCGCCCGGCAGCCTGGATTCACTGCCGGACTAAGGAGCTTTCGGGGAGTGCAGGTGCTGAGTGGTTAGTGCAGCGGCTGCTGTGGTGCGGATTATCCTGGCCTGATGGAGATGACAGAGAGATTCCCGTCCCCCAGCACTCCCTGCATTACCCCAATCGCCCCGGGTCAGGTCATGCCTGCAGCTGGCTGGCGCTCCTGAGGGGTGAGGAGGTTGTATTGGGCTCAGGATGGGCGAGGAGGTTGGTGGGTGTCAGGGCGTCTGTGTCCCTGCCCGGGGATGCCTGTCCTGTTTGTCAGAGCAGCTCTCTGGGGCACAGGCCTGGTGCTATTCGTAGCAATCTCTGCTGCAGGCCCCTCACCCTGGTATTGGGCCTTGTGCATCGTGCTGATAGCCATGGGGGACTGTCTCTCCCCTCGTGACGTGCGCCCCTCTGTGCCTGACCCCCACTGGACGTGAGTCTGCTCCCACCCCCTGCAGCTGGCTCCACAGGTCCTCGGCTGGATCCCAGCTAGTGCCAGCCTCTGCTCTCTTCCTTCCCCAGAGCGTCTTTGGGAGCAAGCCGTCTGTTCCCGAGTACAAAGTGGCCTCGGTGCAGAAATCCCGCTTCATCTTGCTGCACTACAGCATCTTCAAGGCCCTGTGGGACTGGCTCATCCTGCTGGCCACCTTCTACGTGGCCGTCACCGTCCCCTACAACGTCTGCTTCACCGGCACCGAGGACAGTCTGGCGGCCGCCCGCAGCACCATCGTCAGCGACATCGCCGTGGAGATGCTCTTCATCCTGGGTAGGGCCGAGGCTGGGCTGTGGGGGCCTGGGCAGGGGGGTTCACTCAGCGCAGGGCGGTCAGACCCTCTTGGCTGGGGAAGCGGGAGCCTGCTCTCAGCGGGCTGACACCACTGCAAGTAGCTGAGACGACGTCGAGGCCGGAGCTCAGCTCTGTGCCGGGGGCGCGGCTCCATGGGTGCTCAGAGTGCTCTGGGCTGGGTCTGAGCGCCCGGGGTCCAGGCTGGCGTCTGCCCCGGGGAGCAGGGCCCTGCAGTGTGGGGTGCGGCGGGGGCCAAGGCCGGGCGGCTGTGATCAGGGTTCTGGCGGCAGTGCGGGGCAGTGACTGGGTCGGCCCTTCTCTGCAGACATCGTCCTGAACTTCCGCACCACCTTCGTCAGCCAGTCGGGGCAGGTGGTGTACGACACCCGCTCCATCTGCATCCACTACGTGGCCACCTGGTTCTTCGTGGACCTGATCGCAGCCTTGCCCTTCGACCTCCTGTACGCCTTCAATGTGACCGTGGTGAGTGCCAACCCGGGGCGGGCTGGGATCTCCCCTGTCCCGTCTCCGCAGGAGCCATCGGGATGAGGGGAGAGCAGCCCACCCAGCCCAGTTGAACCCGAGAGAGCCGCAAACCGTCAGCAGCGTGAAATCTTCCCCGGCTGAATCCTCACCCTGCAAAGTAGCTGGACACACGTGTGAACGGACGCACGCGTGCAAACACACCTGTGCACGTGCAAATGGGCACAGCAAGGCCTCCGTGTTCCGAGAGGCACACACACACGTGCAAATGCATTCTCCTGCCGTGTGTAAAATTACAGACACACGTGCTGCCAGGTGAACACATAGTGTTCTGATAATGCCGAGAGACCAGACAGCGGCTGGGGTGGGCAGGGAGGGCCCGGGCCCGGGCCCCAGCCCCTCCACAGAGGCCCTGGGCAGGAGCGACGGATGCATTAGGAGCGCCATATTCACCCCAGGCATCAGCCATCAGGAACAGGGGGTGTCGGCCCGGGCCAGGAGGGGGGCCTGTGCCTTGCATGATGCTGCGGCTCATGCCCGGGCCCCACGTGCCGTGGGAATGGATCCAAGTGCAGGGGCTGCCAGCAGCAGGGCGTGACCCAGAGCAGCCCACTGACAGGGGAGCATCCTGGCAACAAACTGCTGGTGTCGAGCCCCTTCCCAGCGTGAGACCTCGGGCTGCAGCGGGACGTCAGCCAGGCGGGGGAGGGCAGTGGTGCCGAGGCCTGCGGGGCACCGGGCTGGGCTGCGCCCAGGGCTGAATTTCCCCGAGACTAGTTCTTTAAGCTGTTTCCCATCCGGCCCTGGGCAGAGGCTGCCCTGGCGCCCGCTCTCAGTGACGACCGCCTCTGCTTCTCTCCCCGCCCGCCAACCCAGACCTCGCTGGTGCACCTGCTGAAGACCGTGCGTCTCCTGAGGCTGCTGCGCCTGCTGCAGAAGCTGGACCGCTACTCCCAGTACAGCGCCATGGTGCTCACCCTGCTCATGTCCATGTTCGCCCTGCTCGCCCATTGGCTGGCCTGCATCTGGTACGTGATCGGCCGGAAGGAGATGGAAAGTAACGACCCCCTGACCTGGGACATCGGTGAGTCAGGCGGGGTGCACGGGTCTGAGCCGGGCGGGTCCGAGCGGGTGGGCACAGGACTCCTGGGTTCTGTTGCTAGCTCTGGGAGGGGAGTGGGATCTAGTGGTTAGAGCAGGTGGGGCTGGGAGTCAGGATGCCTGGGTTCTATTCTAGCTTTCCCATGGACTGCTTGTGTGATCTAGGCAAGTTACTGCCTTGCCCCGTGCCTCAGTTTCCCCACCTGTACAAGGCAGATACTGAGGCTGGCCCGCCCCCCAGGGTCCTGTGCTGAGGGTCCAGGACTGGATTTGGCTGGCGGGTGGCTATCGACGAGCAACGCGTCCTTCCTGCTGCCGCCGCTCAGCAGGAACCTTCTGTAACGATGCTGGTTCTGGTGGGACACTGCTTTGAGCAGGGGGTGGGATGACCTCCTGAGGTCCCTTCCAACCCTGATATTTTATGATTCTATGATTCTGAGAGTGCCAGTTCAGGACAAATTGCTTCGAGCAGGGCAGTTACAGCCCCAAACCAGCCAGACAGAGAGGACTTTGGTTTTACCCCACTGGCTAACCACAAGTCACACAAGCAATTCCCTTAGACACTCCAGTTTCCCAGTATCACCACCAGCGCCACTCATTATGGGGACAAATGGTTATGAAAACCAATACCCCAGTAAAAGAAAAAGGTTCTCTCGATCCCAAAGGACCAAGCCCCAGACCCAGGTCAATATACAAATCAGATCTTACTCACAAATCATGGTGTTACCAATCCTTTGGAATCTAAAGGTTTATTCATAAAAGGAAAAAGATATAGATGAGAGCTAGAATTGTTTAAATGGAATCAATGACATATAGTAATGGCAAAGTTCTTGGTTCAGGCTTGCAGCAGTGATGGAATAAACTGCAGGTTCAAATCAAGTCTCTAGAACATCCCCAGCTGGGATGGGTCCTCAGTCCTTTGTTCAGAGCTTCAGTTTGTAGCAAAGTCCCTCCAGAGGTATGAAGCAGGATTGAGGACAAGATGGAGATGAGGCAGCTGCCTTTTATAGTCTCTCCCAGGTGTAAGGACACCTCTTCGTTCTTACTGTGGAAAATTACAGCAAAATGGAGTTTGGAGTCACATGGGCCAGTCACATGTCCGTGCATGACTCAGTGCTTTACAGGCGGCAGCCATTGCTCCCACGCCATCTTGAACATCCCCGGTAGACTTCTTATGTGGATTGGAGTCTTCCAGGGTCTATTGTCCGTTAAGTGTTTCTTGACTGGGCCCTTAACTTGCAAATTCCTTTCTCAAGAAGCTGACCAAATGCTTTACTTCTTAGGCTTCTTAGAATCAAAACACATTGAGATACAAGTACCTAGCCAATACTCCTTACTTTAACTACACAAATGGTACACACATACAGCCAGCATCATCCTAACCAGCCAGCCATAACCTTCCACAGACACCTCACACGACAACCGTTGTACAATATTTGCTGTGAATATATAACAGCGGTTGCACCGATGCTCTGTTCGGTCACAGGTGATGTCAGTACTGTCACACCTTCAAAGGAGGCGGACGCCGGGTCTGGCGGGGGCCAGCGGGGCCGGGCACTAGACTGTTCTGTGCGGCCTGGGGGATGTGCGCAAAGGCCCAGCACAAGACGGGGGGCATGGCTGCAGCCATGGGGCATCCCCAGGCCTCATGCTGGCTCCGTGCGCAGGACTCAAGCACGGGTGGCGGAGGGCCAGCCTGCCCCCTCTGCAGGGGGAGTCCAGCCGCCTGCAGCCGCTGGGGTGAGCCAGGCCCCCCCGCTGCAGGCAGGGAGAGCTCTCCAAGCCGTGGGGGTGGCCTGGCAGTCGTAGGGCCCAGGGGCAGTGGTGCGAGAAGCCCCTGGCTGCATTGGGCAGGCCAGGATGGGCGGGGGAAGGGAGGGCACTGGGGGAGTTGATGGCCAGGCAGGGATCCGATCCCCTCTCGCTCTGGGAGCCGTTGGGTGGGAGCTCCTGGTCTGGCAGAGCGACGGGGCAGCCAGGCAGGCACAGCCGGGGGCTTACCAAAGCGCATCTCCTCGCCCTGGCAGACACCACGCCGGGCTGCGCAGACCCCACCCCGTCACTCGTCCCTGCCTTAGTCAGGGGATCGAGCCCTGAGCGCCTGTGCCGGCGGCGAGCGCTCGGCCCCGGTGATGCGGAGGGAGGGAGACGTGGCCCCGCTCCAGCCGAAGCCTGGGGCCACCGAGCGGGCTCTGGCTGCAGAGCTGAAGGCTCTGGGACTAGCTGACCCGAGTGAGACGGGAATGACCCAGCCGGGCTGGCCCCGCTCCCAGGGCAAGTCACAGTGACAGCATGTGGCACCGACACTGGCCGGGCCAATGCTCCTGGGTGCCACGCTGGAGCCGAGGGGCAGCGATGCCCGGCAGGGGGCTGCTCTGGGCTCCCCCGTGGGCTGGCTGCCGGGGCGCTGGACCGGCCCCCACCCCGAGCGCCAGCCGACTGTAACTCCTCGCTGTGCTTGGCAGGCTGGCTTCACGAGCTGGGCAAGAGGCTGGAGGCGCCCTACGTCAACAGCTCCGTGGGGGGCCCGTCTGTCCGCAGCACCTACATTGCCTCCCTCTACTTCACCCTCAGCAGCCTCACCAGCGTGGGCTTCGGCAACGTCTGCGCCAACACCGACGCCGAGAAGATCTTCTCCATCTGCACCATGCTGATCGGGGGTGAGCCGGGCGGGGCCAGGCAAGGGGGCATGCGTCCTGTGCTGGGGGGGAGCCGGGCGGGGCCAGGCAAGGGGGCATGCGTCCTGTGCTGGGGGGGAGCCGGGCAGGGCCAGGCAAGGGGGCATGCGCCCTGTGCTGGGGGGGAGCCGGGCAGGGCCAGGCAAGGGGACACGCCCTGCACTTGTTGTTCCACAAACTTACACAGGATCGTTTTAGGGGTCAAGGCAAAGATGCCACATTTATTATTAATCTGTAACTCTTAGCAAATACCTTAATGCTTATACACATACACTCACACACACACACACACACCAAAATGTTCTGCAGCTGCTGGATAGTTACCAGTC